TCCTTGCTGTACACACCTTTTTAGAGATACTCACATGATTTGAAATTTATTAGAATCCTCTAGTAGCTTCACTTATATCTTTTGAGCTATATAGTTTTTGCTCTAGTGCTTCACTTATATCTTTTAGAGCACGGCGGTGGTTTTATTTTATAGAAATAGTTGATCTCTCATGCTTCACTTATATTATTTTGAGACTCCTTTAGAACAACATGGAAATTTGGTTTTAGAAATAATATAAAAACTTTTATATAATTGCATTGAATACTATGAGAAGTTTGATACTTGATAATTGTTTTGAGATATGGAGATGGTGATATTAGAGTCATGCTAGTTGAGTAGTTGTGAATTTGAGAAATACTTGTTTTGAAGTTTGTGATTCCCATAGCATGCACGTATGGTGAACCTTTAGGGTATGTTTGGTTCGAGTCATTAGGTGGAACGTAACGGGTCCGTTCTGTCCCCAGGGGTCATTCCATTGTTTGGTTGGGTCGAGGAACGAGAACCTACTCGTTCTAGGGAACGGCATATTCCCTCTATATGCGGAATGTGCTGGTACCTCCGATTTGGAGGAACCACGCGGAACCGCTCTTGCACCTCGCCTCTCCCCCCGATTCACTCACCCCACCCAAAGGCCCAATCCCCATCTTTATTTCAGCGCCGCCGCCCGCCTCTCTCCCCATGCCGATCTTCCTCCAGCGCTGGCGACTCCCATGGCACCACCTCTCCCTCCCCGGCGGCGAACTAGGATCAGGGCGGCGGGCAAGCAGGTATGGCGTCTAGTACCGGTGAGGTGGGCGGGGAGATGGTCTCCGGCAACGGCGACTGCGAAGGAAGCCATGACCCAGCGTGGACTACCTCTGCCCGGAGTCCTTCATCATGCCTGAAGAGAGCAGAGCAGCTGCAACGCTGCAGCGCAGATTTTGTTGCCAATCTGGCTGGGAGTAGAGCAGTGGCTACAACGCAGCAGAAAGCACATGAGTAGATCAACAGCGCTGGCAGGGAGGAGGGAGCGGGCGATGACATGCAAGCAAGTCTAGTATCGAAGGGTGGCACCAGGGAGGAGGGAGTTGGACATCGCACTGATCTGGATTGGTTTTAGGGACTAATGTGTGACGTTCATCCAGAAGAACCTCACCTCTACTAGTTCTAAGAGTTTTTAATTAATTTTGTTTCTAAACTTTTCATTGGATGGAAGAAATAGTAGTTCATCCTGGTTTTGATTTTCTTCAAATTTTTCATCTTTTCAAGAGAGATGTGAGGTAAAATTTAGACATATTTGTTTAAAATTGTATAGTATTGGTAGTTGACTTCTTGATATATGGCATGAGTATATATTAAAATCAAGGATGTCATCCATATATGAGAACTTCACCATTCAAGAGAGATGAGCTGAATCAAATTTGTCTTTGTTCCATTCCTTCAACCAAACAGTGAGACGGAACCATTCCATTCCATCATTTGACTGCAACCAAACACAAGAATGGAATGGACCCATTCTAATGGAATGGAACCATGACATTACATTCTACTTGGTTCCTCAACCAAACACACCATTATGTGATGAAGTCGGAGCATGATTAATTTATTGATTGTCTTCCTTATGAGTGGCAGTCGGGGACGAGCGATGGTCTTTTCCTACCAATCTATCCCCCTAGGAGCATGCGCGTAATACTTTGTTTCGATAATTAATAGATTTTTGCAATAAGTATGTGAGTTCTTTATGACTAATGTTGAGTCCATGGTTTATATGCCCTCTCACCCTTCCACCATTGCCAGCCTCTCTAGTATCGCGCAACTTTCGCTGGTACCATAAAACCACCATATACCTTCATCAAAAAAGCCACCGTACCTACCTATTATGGCATTTCCATAGCCATTCCAAGATATATTGCCATGCAACTTTCCACCGTTCCGTTATTATGACACACTTCATCATTGTCATATTGCTTGCATGATCATGTAGTTGACATCGTATTTGTGGCAAAGCCACCGTTCATAATTCTTCATACATGTCACTCATGCATCATTGCACATCCCGGTACACCACCGGAGGCATTCACATAGAGTCATATTTTGTTCTAAGTATTGAGTTGTAATTTTTGAGTTGTAAGTAAATTAAAGTGTGATGATCATCATTATTAAAGCATTGTCCCATTGAGGAAAGGATGATGCAGACTATGATTCCCCCGCAAGTCGGGATGAGACTCCGGACGATAAATAAAAAAGGGAAAAAAAGAAAAGAGGCCAAAAAAAGGCCCAAAAATGAGAGAAAAAGAGAGAAGGGACAATGTTACTATCCTTTTTTCCACACTTGTGCTTCAAAGTAGCACCATGATCTTCATGATAGAGAGTTTCCTATGTTATCACTTTCATATACTAGTGGGAATTTTACATTATAGAACTTGGCTTGTATATTCCAATGATGGGCTTCCTCAAAATTGCCCTAGGTCTTCATGAGAAAGCAAGTTGGATGCATGCCCACTTAGTTCTTTTGTTGAGCTTTCTTACACTTATAGCTCTAGTGCATCCGTTGCATGGCAATCCCTACTCACTCACGTTGATATCTATT